ACCAGCTAGGTAATCAACAACAACAACAACTTTTCTTTCCCAGGATTAACTACAAAGTGCAATTCGCTCGCCTTTTTTTTCTTCTTCTCTCACTATGACTACGTACAGGCAAACCTCCCGGCAGAAATTACTTGCATTTTAAACGTTATTGCTAATCTGCAATAGAGCGCGTGTTTCTCTAGCAAAGTCATTAAAACAGGCACGGGTCAGGATGCTGAGGCTGCATTCATGATTCTTTATAGTTACAATGTTAGTAAAGTATTTACTAAATTGACTACCACCTACTGCAAGTTAAATTTGCTGACAGATAAACTGAGCATAACCTCTGGCATTTTCAGACGTTTTCTTATGAATAGATATATTTTGCATGTTTTTGCATGCTAGGCCCTTTCCGAAATGCTGATTTGATCTCTGATATAAGGGCTTACTCACCTCCTTGAAGGTACAGAAGAAAGGCAGCAGTAGCTCGCATGTGGGTGAATGACACTGTAATGTATAGAAAGCATAAAACTGACTCTTTTCAGATCATTTCAAATTCAAAAGCAGCAAAAGAACACTGAAAATTCTGCACTATTTCTGCGCTGGTTAAAAATAATTAAGAAAAGTCCTGCTGAGATTTTTTTAAAGGGAGATATAAAAAGAATATTATTTGCATAGTCACAAATCATGCTAAAATTATTCTTCAGCAAAAAAGACCACTCATTTCACAAGGGCAGTCCAGCTTCAAGAGACTGCACTATCTGTTAGCATCCTATTTTCAAAACAGACATCTCCGGGCAGATTTGTTACAGTTTTGTAGATGCTAATGTGTAAACAGATTGTAAAATTATTTGGGGGCCTATAATAGGATTTAATGCGTTTAAGAGGTAGTCTTATACCTCTTTAACAAAGAGGCTTACAATATGGTAAGAATGTATCACAAAAAATATAATGCTTTTAACAGATAAATCCTCTTGGCAAAGGCTGTAATCTTTCAAACTTAATTGGTGAACTCATTAACGAACAACTGCCACTACAAGAAGAAAGACTATTGTCAGCGACTTATCGGGCAATGAGATAACAAACTTAATTATATTGTTTTTAGTGGATTTACATTTGCTTCCTTAGGACACTAGATTTTCCAAACAGTATTTCCTTGGCTGTATACCATTTTCTTTTCGCCTATAAGAGGAAAGCAAACGTATCTGCAGCAAAGAAGGGAAGAGGAAAACCCAAACCGTCGCTGCTTTGAACTAAGCATAACACAGTACTAAAACTTCTGTCTTTATTATCTACTTGTAAAAAGTTATAAGCCTGTAAACTAGTTAATTTATGAGCCATGTTAATCATTTGTTCACATTTGATCTGAGGTTTAGCAAACACGGTTTCCTGGGACATAGGAGGATAATTTGCAGGTCCGGCGTGGCTCCTGAGGGGGCACTAACTAATCTGACACCGAAACATGACATTGATGGCAGGCACACACTAATGACCGCGCCGCTAGATGCTCCTGTCATCCTGTCGTGGCAGTGAAAAGCAACTTTCTTCTTACTGCCAAAAAAGTGCAGAGTGGTCAGACTAATTATTCAGACATGCACTGTAATGAGAATCTGAGTGCTCCTTCCCAGCGCACCAACCGCTCGCTAAGGCCCCATTTGTCTGATACGGTGCCTGATTAGAATTTGTTTCTTGAATAGTAAAACCACAGCTTAAAATATAGCAGAAAGGATAAACAGCCTTTTATTCTGCATAAAACTCCAAAAGTGGCCATTTTGGTTTCAAGCTTTTTTTTTTTTTTTGTCATTTATTTACACCACAAGAACAGAAAATTGGATTAATTTTTAATAGTACTTCTTAACATATACATCTTCATTGAGTTGTACTGTTGGAATCTGTCAGGACATAAATCCTGCAGACAAAGAGTGGCTCAGAAGGTGTTTTATTTTCCTTCTTTTAGGAAAAATGACATTTGCTAGAACAGAAATTCGAACCAGACAAATCATAGGTTGAAAAAAGTGCCTGTCATTCTTTCTAAATGGTATTGTTAGGCCAACTGATTCCTCAGCATGAGCTCTGAAAGGATGTATGGGCTTTACACATCACAGAGTGGTTTGGACGGAGAAATAGAAGCAAGAAAAAAAAAGAGTAAGAAAAGTTGAATGATGTTTCCTAAATTCTACATTTATTCTTCACTGTGGGTTCTAATCCAGCACAGACAACAAGGTGTACCACAGCTTTGTACCTGTGTTAGCCTTACAAATCTGTAATTTGCAATTTGCCATACCGCAAAGCAAAAAGAGAGCAACGGAACCAACAGGGTTACATAAGCTACATATACAGGCTGAAGATACGTTAGCACCCTGTAAAGGAGCCCATATTTCTAAGGGTAACACTCAGCTCTTTCTGAAAAGCAAGCCCTTCTAAGAGCGTTTCAAGTAGGCCACCCAAAGTCTCACACACGCTACTGAGTCATTTAGAAAAACGTAATAAACTCGAAAGTGTTACACACAAAGGTGAAGGAGACACGTGCTGCAGTACCACCCCAGGACAGCTTCCACCTTTCCTGGCTAACAGCTCACGCGAGCTCTGCAGGAATTCAGCCGGCGATCACAGCTCGTGCGCTGCAGTCCAAGTGCTGGAAATGGGTGAAGGCCGGTGGGCGCCGCACCGCAGCCCTGACCCAGCTGCTCTGGCTGCTGCGCTCCTGCTAGCAGCTCACCGCAGAGCTCACTTGCACACAAAGACCTGTGTTAAGAGTGGCTGGATTTACACAGCCCTCAGTTCTTGTGCTGGTTGGCTGCCCTTTGTCAGCAACCTGCGGCATCTGGAGCAGGTTGGAACTGCTAGGCCCTGAAGCAGGGACCCCAGTGAGAACAGGCCTGCTCCTTCCCCAAATCCAGTGGGCTGCATAGCACCAGGCACCTTTTGCAGCCCCAGATATCCCAAATACCCATTTCCAAGCGTAGTGCCACAAATCTGTTACCACATGGCGCAACTTCCGAGATGAAAGTGAAAGCACATGTTTTGTGAGCCAAAGCAATACAACGTAAATACTGGGTACACGCTGTTACATGCCACTTTGCAGTGCAACATGCGAAGGGCACATGAATCATTAACGAGAGAACAACTCTGGCACCTACCCCAGAAATACCTCCATCAGCACTGAGCAGGAAAGAAGAGATCAAAAAGAGATCCCAGAATCATAAACAGAGGCTCAGCTCCCGCAGAAAGATACGCTTAGCAGCATTCATCTCTTTGGAAAATAGAGGCGCTGTATCCAAGATACGGCACCGCTAACATTTTCCACATGGCTGGGGATGGATTGGTGAGTGGCCTTCTCCTAAACAACATCATCTATACGTGCCAGCTGTTGGAAAAATGAAGACACGATGCATTTTGCACTCTGTTCTCATAAACCAAAGGTATTAATTCAGACAGACGAAGGGGAGAGAGGCACCGAGTTTATTTCAAAGCAGGTTTCGCCACGCTTGGCCACGTCATGTGGCCGTGCTGCAGCAGCCTCGTCGCCCAGCCAGAGAGTGAAGAAGGACCCTTCTGTATCTAGCCTGACTGGGCCAGCCATAGCAGCGACAACTAAAAACTCAACTGTCCTTCTGTCAGTTTAACTGTTAGCTTGCAATGGATTCGGTTGCACTTCCCATTTGGGGCAGGCTCTCCCCAAGGGCTGACTAAGAAATGTTGGGCAAGAGGAAGCAGCAACCACCAAATAACATTAAAAAAGGGGAAAAAAAATAAGTAATCCCTCTGCCAGCTTCAGAAGAGGAGGCAGGAGCTCTCCTGCCACCCCCAGGGTGTGCAGTTGGAAGACAGCTGCATCACAGTCCCACTGCTGAAAGCGGGGGATCCTGCTGCTGGAAAGAAGCTGGAGTGATGGGAAACCCATCTGGGCAGCCAGAAGCACCAGTGAAGGCATCCCATCCTCTCCCCCATTCCTCTGCCTTCCAGGCTGCCTCACAGAAACGTGAAGCACAAAGGATGCTGTTCCTAGGGAGTAAGAATAGGGAGAACAACGTTCCACCGGGACTCTTAAACATTCAAAATGTAAACCTGTTCTGAGCTCATCCCTTAGGAATCTACAGCAGTTTGATCACAAATGCCATTTAGCTAATTCATAGATAGAATATGAATTTAGTTATTCAAGAATAAGTAAAACTTGCTATTTTCTTCCTTTGCTGGTCACAAAGAAGTGCTCCTTCTGATGTGGCCCAGACCGGACAAAAATCTATGTAGGAAATTACTCAGAAGACTGGCTTCAGGCTAAGCATAAATCACTACATAAACTAAAATAAGAGATGATTCCACTGCGTTGATCCACACAGTCAGTAATCACCATAGCCCTCTGCTGTGCTTCAGGGGACTCCAGCATACCAGAAAACACAAACAAAACCTTCTAAATCTCCATTTGCCACCTTTTCTCATCCTTCTGGCAGCGTGAGACAAAAGACACAAAATACACTTAAAACTTGGACTAAAGGTATTGATTCCTTCACGTTCAAGAGGATCCAGAATTACACAGAAAGGTCTTTCTTGCCTGACCCAAATCCTCTGCGCTCTGTTTCACCATGGGCAGGCTGCAGTCCTGTGATGTGCTGAATCCAGAGGCACCTGGTCACCAGCCCAGGAGAAGCAGCACAGAATACAGGCTGGCTTCTGTCTTTGCCACAAACCTGTCTCTTTCTCTTCTAAAATACAAGATGGGTGTGTGTGTGTGTGTGTGTGTGTGTGAGATGCTGCCCTCAGTCTTCTGGGATTCTGTTTGTTTGTTTTTAAGTATTTTAGGAAGTTATGCTTCCATGTAACGTGATTTGATGTGGTAATTACCTATTACATTTGACAAGGTAATTAATGTGGCAAAATACCACTGTACAATGTGTAAACTTAGTTTGCTATCATCAAAACACGTCTGCTTAGGAAACTGTTCTGTCTGGAGAAAAAAAAAAGAAAAGATGGAAAACTCCCAATTATGCATATTCTCTCATCTAGAAAACGTAAAGACTGACCTTCAGCTTCAAATATGTTCTGGACCAAACAGGCATTCTCTGGACAGAGAACTCTAAAAACAAGTGGAAAAAAAAAAAGTTAGCAACACCCTCCAGGAGCAGTACAGAATTTCACTGAGATCTTTAGCATCTCAGATAGAAATGCCTGAGACTTGAATGCCAATGGTTTCTTCACAGCTCAAGAATACTATATCCTCAAAAACAGTTCTCTTCTCAGAAATTCCCCTCCAATTATCAGGTATCAACTCAGAATGAAGGGAAATGAAAATCAGCATATTGCTGAAAAAGTGCACAGAAATCTCCAATCAATCACATTAAATGCTCTAACGACTTTGTCTCCATCCAAGCCATCCAAGCTTGCAATGACATGAAGGAGAAGTCAAAAGAGATGTGCTGAGCTAACTATAAAGTAACAGAAACAAAGGAAATACTGTAAATGATGCTAGTATGAACAAGTTAAATATTCCTAAGTACAGCCTACAATCAATGTGCGTGGACCTATGGAAAACAGAAACACCTCCTTGACTGAAGCACCCAAAATAAAATCAAAATCCTTCAGCTGCATACAGAGAATCTTCCCTGAGCTTCAGCCAGCAAGATTAATGCCTACTTCCAGATCTGATTTCCACTTCTGCTGTTTATCTGCTGAAATGTCCTGAGCAGTTTATGGCTTGAAATAATCTTGAACACGATGTAAATCTCTTTGCACAGAGACCAGCAAATAAGAAAACAACGCAAACTTCCAGATACCAAACCCAAGTGATTCAGAAGCAAAGGCATCCGATCTGCACTGCCATATTATTATAAATTCATTATTCTTCTTTGGGACAACATCCTCCGTTACCTTTTAACAAGAAAACCCAGAATCTAGTCTGAAATCCTTATTGCCAAAGCAGCCCTTGGAAACACAGCAAAGACCCCCTGGCTGGAGGCATTTTTAGCAGTTCTGTCTCTGCACTGGAGGCACTGTCTCCACAGTAAGCGCCAGACACCAGAAAAACTTAAATCTACCAAGTCAGTATGAAAGACTGATGTGTGGCTGGCAGTACCGAAACCGCTCACTCCATCCCTGGACACAGCAGGGCACCACGGGCTCGCTGTCTGGCTCCTGGGCACAGCACACACCACAAGCAGAAGCACAGCTCCACCAGTACAGCCCACTGCACCCAGGGCCCCTCCTTGCCCGCTCTCCCTCCCCTGCCTGGCTCCTGGACCCAAGCGAGGTGCCTGCCAGGAGCAACGTGAGCCCAGCTCTTTTCACACCCAAGCATGAAGTGGCAGACAGGAGGAAAACCTCTCCTTTCCACAAGTTCTTCTGTTACTAATAGTCTTGATTTTATTACACAGAGGTGAGAAACAAAACCCAGCATTTGACTGAACTGGAAAAAAAGGAAAAAGTTAAAGAAAAGAGTGCTTTCTGTGAGGTATGTTCCTCTGAATGATTCAACAGGCTGCAAAGCTTTGGTTCTTGGTTGAGCAGAGCAGCTGCCAGCCTCGTGCTTGGCCAGGGCAAGTTCTCCAGCTCTGCAGCACTGGATGCAGGAAGGAGGGGCCAGAATGACATGAGCCAGATGGCAGCCCATCTCCCCACTGCAGGAGGAAGAACCGCCTGGTACCAGCAGGACACCCAGAACAACCACACTGCGGAACTTAAGCTTCCCAACACAGAAGTACTGGTCCTGCATCTATCACGTGTTGAACCTGCTGCACATCGCTGCCAATGGCTGGTGCAGCTGACCCAGCCCTGCTGGGCAAGCACCCCACGGCTGTCAGGAGCTGGCTGACCTATGGGTCCCACACAGCCTTAAGAGTAGCTTGGAAAAACTTTTGGCTTTGCAAGACTTAAAAAAAAACAAAAAAAAATTAAGTGAAATGCATTCAGGTGTGAGGGCAAGGAAAAAAAGAGTACCTACACAAATCTAAAAAACGAGTACTGCTTTCTCATTAAATACTGAGACCTCCCTTTCACAAACCCCATCTTGTACACACAGGGAAGCAGTCTGCACTCTCTCCTTCCTAAATATTTTCACTCACTGTTAAAAAAAAAAAAAAGACAAAAGAGAAACCCCACGCTTGAATCTATCAGCAACACTTTAAGGGTCACGTAGCACAATCCTGGAAAGTGACCGAGGAGTTCAGGGAGCTCCACAACACTTCGTATTTTACCACAGGAGTCTCTCTTATAATGAATGGAACTGAAAACAAAAATAATTCCTTACATTTTTTCAAAAGGGTACAAAAATGCTTCAAAAACCTAAGTTATACGTTGGGATTTTCCTTTTTCTTTTTAACGTTTTAATTATTCATTGGGTATGGCATTATTTTACTGTATGAAATGTCTGATGCACAAAAAAGCCTATTCTTCTAGAAGCATAATTTCAACCTCAGTTCAAGCATATTCTTCTTGGCAGTAGCTAAAGAGAGTTTTGCTAAATCACAGCAAAATGTATTTTCAAGCAATGAGAAAATTCAGCATTGCACCTCTCTCACTGCTCCCCTCCTGAGCTTTAACTATGCTGTTTTCATACAATTAATTATTTAGGTGGTTCCAGGAACAATATATGGTTACTGCCACAGAGCTGCACAGACCTCAGCTGAGCAGCCATACAATTCACTGCTGTCTCGTTCTGCCCAGGACTTGTGCTGGCTGAGGAGAGAAATTTAGCTGGAGCTCAAAACTTGCTTAAACTTAGCGATTCAGCACTTCAGTGTTATTTTTCTAGGACGTAACTAGCAATAAAAGATTGCCATAAATACGTTCTCCCTATATTCATGCACTGCGTAAATACACTTTAATGGCAGTAATTGAAATCTGAATGGGATGCCAACACCTCAGGCAGACTGACGCGACATTTAATTTATACAATTAAACACGAGGGTGGGGAAGCACAAAACAAACAATGTTTGTTAGTTGCATGCTTTACATCAGACCTCTTTTCCCCTTTTACCTGTCCTTGCTCTGGTCTGGCTGGGCAGCAGATGGCACGAGGCAGAGGACAGCCCTGGTGCGGCCAGGAGCCCACCACCAACTTCTCCAGATCAACAGGAGCAGAACAGGCAGCAGGCCACCAGCCCCCAGAGAGCTGCTGAGGCACCCACGTGGAGCTCTGCAACAGCTTCACGCACCCCTTCAAGGATTCACAGGATGAACCCGAGGGCAAAAAGCCATCTTGAACCACACAGACTTGCTCACCAGCCCTCCAAATGCAAGGCAACACTTCAGCTCCCTTCACCTGATGGGCTCTTGGACTGGGACCCACTAAACTTGGTGTCTGTGCTGAGTGAAAGGTTGCATTCTGCCAATGGAATTAAACATGGAAGAAGCCATGTACGTACAAAGCCACCTACACCTAAAACATAGTTTAAGCTCCCACAGAACTGAACAAGTACTTTTTCTACCGTGACTAACCCTCTCGTACAGATCAAGCAGGGAGAGATACTGCAGCCTGGCATTCTACAGTTGAGCATGGATTCAGATCTCTCATCCCACTGTGAACATCCCACCTTCACACAGGCTACTCTGCTATCACTTCCGTCAATGTACTGTGTTCCTATGTGCATACAGCTTCATTAGAGCACACAAAGAACCTCTGTACCTCAAGAATACGTCTTTTAATAAAAAGTGACCAAGAAGAGCGCCTGTCACTATCAGAATTACAAGGACTGCTATAGTAGGCAGGTGGAAAATCAAGGAAGAACATTTTCAGGCCACTGTTTTGCACTTTGTCATAGAGAAGATGCTGCCCTTCATACAAAAACCTCGTGAAAGGAAGGCAGAAAGCACGTGTGCATGCATGTACAAGTGCACATAAGCAAATACACATATTAGCAATGTGCAATTTTTTAATGCATATCAAAACCACTCAATGAGGGGTTTTCCCACTTTCTGAATCTGCATCACAGCGTTATATCAGCTCTTAACACCAAAAACAGGATACAAAGCAGGTACCTCTGCTGGTAGTGCTGTGGTGCTGGAGAAAGCAGGTGCAATTTCTCAGCACACAGACAACCACTGCAGTATGAAATGCGCACACAGTGATGGGCAAGGTGGGACAGGAGGTGAACACAATAATTCCAAGGCAAAACATGTGGACAGCTGATGAAACTCAGCTCATAGCACAGATGCAATGAGTCGAACCAAATGTCAGTTCGCCTCGTATGATAGTGCAGAACAATTCCATCTTTGGATATGAAATACTAAGAGGGGATCAGACAAGTTTCATCAACAGCAAAACCTACCCACCTTTCCCAGGGAGAATTTCAGTGCAGGGCTCTTGCAGGACACTTGCAGGACACTGCGGTTAAAGGAAACCCTGCCTGAGCTCATGAAGGCTGCGTGCTGCCATCTGTGAGCCCTAAAATCCAGCCATCCTCCACAGGAAGCCCACCTAATGACAGCCCAACAGCAGGCACAGCGCTGGGGACAGGGGAGCTGTGTCTCACCCAGAGCACCCAACACACATCGCCTTGTGTTGTAAGCTGGATGAGCACGCTGCCCTGATCACCACGAAGGAGCTGATCCCATTCAAAGAGCTCTTGCTTATCCTCTAGAGAACGTTTCTGCCTCGTTATTGAGGAAGTTTATCATATATCTGACCTCACAGACCACGCATCGCCAGTAAGCAACAAAGACAAATAAATTAAACAGAATAAAAATAGAATATCCCTTCAGTTTACCACAAGGCACCTTTAATCTATTATTTTTAGTTCTACCTCCAGTTGTGCCATAAATACGTATTTACAGCACATGATTTTTCCTTTGGGATTATTTCTGCTCTTGTATCTTTTGCAGAAAATGAAACCCTCATCTCGGTTAATCCTCATCATAAAAACATGATCAGCTTTATTACCATTAACTGCTTTCTAATCCTGTTCAGATAATTTATCAGCATTTCTGGTTTTCGAAAACACAAAAAGATGCAATCTAGTTTTTTACCATTAGCATCATTTTTAAAAGTCATTTTATATTTTATCTTACAAGGTGATTGACTTGCTTACTTAAAACATGCATGAGATTTTTTCCTTTTTCTCTCCTTCCCATAAACTATACTGA